ATGGGCCACCAGTGTGGGGACGCAGTTCAGAAAGCTAACCGCACCTTGTCATGAATCCACAGATGCATCACAAGCAGGGCCAAGGAGGTGATTCTCCCCCTCTATGTGACATTGGTCAGGCTGCAGTTGGAGTAGTGCATCCAGTTCTGGGCGCTGCACTTTAAGAGGGATGTGGACAGCATTAAGTGGGTCCAGAGGAGGGCCACTCACATGATGGGGGGGCAACAGGGGAGGAGAGGCTAAGGGACCCGAACCTGTTCAGCCTACACAAAAGGAGGCTGAGAGGGGATCTACAAACTTGGTAAGGGGGACCAGCAGGGAACGGGAGAGTCCCTGTTTCCCCGGGCATTACTAGAAATAACAAGGGCTAATGGCCATAAGCTGACTGAGAGTAGATTCAGGCTGGACATCAGGAGGCAGTGCTTCACTGTCAGGGTGGCTAGGGGTTAGGAGCTAGAACCAACTTCCAAGGGAAGTGGTGCTTGCCCCTACCCTGGGGGTCTTCAAAAGGAAGCTAGACAATCACCTAGCTGGGGTCGCTTGACCCCAGCATCCTTTCCTGCCCATGGCAGGGCGTCGAACTTGATGATCTGCTCAGGTCCCTTCCAACCCTGCCAACTAGGAAACTCCCTATTTCTTGGGAGCCGACTGAAAAGGAGGAGCTCCCTGAGGTGGGCATGGTGCAGGTCACAAGGGACTGAGAAGAGCCAGGATCTCAAAGCCAGAGGCTTGTCTCTTGTGAAGCCATGCTAGAACTGGCTGCAAGGGTCCTTTCAGGACAGGGAGACTGTATAAGGATACTTCTTGGGGGAGTCCCAATGAAGAACTTTCCCTTTCTGCTCAAAAAGGGGGGCTGTTTGATACTTTTTTTTTTTTGTGACAGATGGTGATTTTGCTGTTAACTCTCTGTGATATACAGGAGTCCTGCTTATAATAAAGCGAAATGTCCCAATGCTGTCCTTCTACGTGAGTTGTATTACTGAACCTTTCAGAGGTTTATGCTGCCCCTAGCCACATTAAATGCCCTCTGTGCAGTGACTCTGCTCTCACTGGGTTCTCTCAGCCTGGTTATGGTTGCATTTCTAGGGTAGGTGAGTTGTTTGTTGTTGTTGTTTTTTAAGTAGGGCCTCAGCTTCTTCTGCATTGGTTATGCCTTCTTTATGCCTCATGTAACAGTATGGGTACTGTGAAAGAGGCCATGTCTTGGTGATGGTATGCTCTGGCATTAAATACACTATCACACTATTTTTTTTTGTATCAGTCCTGGTTTCAGTAAGCCTTAGTTTAACATCAAACGTGTAAATAATCCTGGCCCTATTCAGCAAAGTCTTTAATTGTGTGAGTAATCATGAGTTCAAGTACTTTGATGTTAAGGATGGAGATTTCTCAAATACGTGGTTCATTTGGGGACGCTAGTTGGTTGTAGTGTCTGTTCTAGTTATACAAGGGGAAAGCAGTATGTACATGAGCCAACACTACCCTATGTATAGTCTTTCTAATAGTGGATGCTGTCCCTTTTGTAGAACAGGGGTGTCAGACTCATTTGGCCTCATGGGCCAAATCAAGACAGTGGTGCTCCTTACAGGCCGGATCAAGAACGACCTCCAGCAGCGGGACAAGCAGTGGTGGCATAAACCTTTGAAGATGCTTTAGCTGCTTTGTCAGCTGATGCAGTCAGAGGTTCTAACACCGCCATTGTTTGCTCTGCCATCACCACCATAATGAGTCCCGATGGGAATCTGCACCTAGGATTTAGCAGCAGGACAAGTGACAGCAGTGTTAATTTCTGTGGCTCCCTGAGCCTCTGTGTTAGCTCAGGGAGCAACAGGATTAACACTAAAATCCTGGCCCCCTCCAGAAGCCCCACAGGCTAAATCTGGCCCATAGGCCATGTGTTTGACACAGAGCATTGCCCGTATAGCCTGTAAGAAGGATAATGTAAAACTGACTAGGATCACCATAGTATCAGTGCTACAGCAGAGGCATTGTATGCAGGAGCCACATAAAAGTTGTTTTCTGACTGCAGGTAGTTTTCAAATATTTGCAAGTGGAGGAAACATAATTCCTGTGTTTATGTGATAAGCTTAAAGACTGTCAGCTTCCAGATGCTTGGTGCTGCACTGCTCACAGAATTTTACTGTAGACCCTTCATATCCAGTGCTGGGAGTAGTATGTCCAAGGGGAATCCCTGAGTGGTGCGGAGGTGCCACCTACATCTCTGCAGAGAGCTGTAGTAATTTATGACTGGGAACTGGCCCTGCACACTGTGACCTGATGATCAGAGACATGCTGAAGGTGCCATTTTATGCTTTCTTTGGGCACCTCCACAATTGTGCTCTACAGTCTTCAGTCGAGAGCAAAATATTAACTGGCATTCAGCATTTTCTGATTTAAAATCCCCTTGAAGTCACTGCTCACTTTGTTTCATAAACCTTAATGTTTTGGTAGCTTGATAACATAATGGAACTGACTGAAAACTTAAGTTTTAACTGTCAGTATTAACACTTCTGTTCTTGGGGGGGGGGGGGCAAGCTTTTGTTCTAACACACAGCTGTTAAGCTTTAAGCCCCCAGGGGCCACATGTTCCGTGAGCCATACCAGTGGAGGTCACACACTGTGTGGGTCACACCAGGCACACCATGGGGATGCACCTGATGCCATCCCCAGTGTGGCACTGTGCTTGAGTGCAGTTTCCACCCTCTACCCCCTGTACTGCTGCACTGCCCTGTCCCGCTGTGGCAAAGGCAAGAAGCAGCAGTTGGAGGGGAGAATCTTGAAACTCCAGCTGCTATTGCAGCCAGAGTGATGGAGAGAAACGGTGGCTGGGTAAGACCCTGGGGGGCTGCACATTTGAGTCCTCATGGGCTGCATGCTGCCTGTGGACCATCATTTGGATAGTCCTGTTCTAACATTTGTTCCTATTTAGAAATATCTCCGTAATCTATGGAAAGTACAGCCTGGTGTTTTCAAAATGAGCCTTTTAACTGAATTCCTCATTTCTCTTCTCCCTCTCCCTCCCCCTCCTTCCATCTCTTGCAGTGACTTACGGGATGGTGAGTTCCAATATGTATTATTATACAAGAGTCATGTCACAGCTTTTCCTGGAAATGCCTATATCAAAGATGGAGAAAACTAATTATAAAACCCTGTCCACCATGGAGGACTTCTGGAAGGTATCCTAACAAATAAATCATTGTCACCGTAAAAACTAATTTTTATTCTGTATTCATGATCCTAATCAGTAAATGTTTCCTCAGTTCTTACTCTGCACAGCAAGAACTTTTAGACCTGTTCGGTTCAAAACACTTTTGCCAATGTAGCAATGACATTTAGTGGCATGGATTCTTTTTCATTTGTAACATTACTATACCGGCAAGAGTTTTTAGTGTAGATGTAGCTATACTGACAAACTGCTTTCCTGGTACAGTTTTTGTTGTTGTGGGAACTGGTATAAATCATACTGACAAAAGCACTCTGATGGTATAAGCTGTATCTACACTAGGTTTGCCAGTGTAGCAATGTCAGCAAGTTGCTCTTATTGCAGAAAAAAGCAACATTTATGCAGTACGATTAATTAAAAAAGGTTTAATTTAAATATCCATGTGTCACAATGTTTCTGTTTCAGTTCTGGAGCAACAGATTTAAATCCTGGTTCAAGTTATCAGTTCTTGTAAACTGGGGGTGTCATACATAAGGTCCATGAGTTTGATGCAGGCCATGAAACCATTTCACCTGGCCCAGGTGAATTCTGAGGGTGTAATGAAATTGGCATTGAGCCCAGCTATGGAGCCCCAGTGGGCAGCATGTCGGTAGTGGGGGCAAGTGACAACTGCATTAATCTGTGTTGCTGCCTTTCTCCCTGCTGTCACTTCTGGCTCCAGGTCTGGCCTGTGAGTCTCCTTGTGCTTTGGATCTAGCCTGCGGGTGCTGGTGAGTTTGATATCCCTGTTGTATACTAATACAAGTACTTTTCAGGCTACTAATGCAGATGCTGGTATCTTAATAGATGATGCACCTGAACAGCAGGTGCATTGTGTTCATAGGCAGTTCCCACACCCAGTGGATTCTCATGCTTTGCAAAGCCAGCATTCCATTCATTCAGTAGCCTAATGTCAGCCTAGTGCTTCAATTCCTCCCAATCCTTCTGGAAGGCTGAAGTGCTAGCTGCATGTTGTGCCTATGGCCAGCATGCTGGCTGCTGCCCTATCAGCTATTTCTAGTCCTTCCGAGATAGTGTAATGGTTCAGGGAGCAGACCATACAGTGCCTGCTGCTTCCTATTCAGTAGTCCATGCTCCAAGTCAAGATGCCGCTCTCAGGGTGGCAACGGTAGTTCCATTCCTGTGGCAGGTTAGATCGCATACAACTGGATGGAAGGCAAGGCACCCAGTGGAACATGGGTTAATTGATCTGATAATAATTCAGATTCCAGTCACTTCCTCCTGTGTAGAGCAGTGTATTATTAATACAGCCTGGAAACAAAAAGACCGTCTGTCAGAAGGGCTACCAACACCCCAATTCACAGTTCATGAGAAAACAGTTAAGCAAAACTATGATGTACCAGGCTGTCCAAGCTACCTCCAAGAACAGGGTTGTGCATAATACAGCCCCTGAACCTGATCTGGTCCACCGAGGGATTTTTATCTGGACCGCAGTGTGTCCCTTGGCCTTGCCTGGCCCAGGCACAGGGGGGTGCAGCACGAGCCGTGGCACGTGGCCATTCCCACTGCCCTCAGGTGCGCAGGCAGGCTGGGGCAGCGCAGAGGTCAGACTGCTTCCTGACAGCCCTGGCAGTGGTAGCTCCTGGCTGTCACTGCCGGCGTTCCTGCTCTCTGACCCGGCTCCACTGCCTGGACACCGCGGTGCATCCCCCCCCCCCCCCCCCCCCCCCTTCCCCGGGGG